AGATACGATTTTTTGGCTTGATATAAATCGTATTATGAAAAAATGCGTTTTAAACGTTTTTATGAAAACTACATGATTTTTCCCTCCGTTTAAAATGTTTTACATAAAACGTTGATTTTTTGAAAAAAATCGCCGAATAACCGACGATTTGCTCACTATGCTCTAAACCGTCATTTTTGCAATGCATTCAAGCCCAACTATGCAAATCTTCTAGACCCAGATTCATGCAGAAAGTAGCCATTGCTGATGATTTTCTGCAAACCTCAAAACGCAAAATCAAACAACCCATAAAACCCTCAAAACTAGACTTGACGATTTTCTGCCCTAAAACCTAACATTAAACAACCCACAAAACCCCTAAAAGTAGAATTGACGATTTTCTGCAAACCCTAAGACCTAACATCAAGCAACCCCCAAAAGCCCCAAAATTAGACTTCTCTCCCGACCCTTTATATCTCTCTAACCTGACTGCACTCAAAACCACATTAAAACCCTAAAACCTTGGACTCCTTTCTCTACCCTTTTTATCTCTCTAACAAGTGCTACTCGTTTTTTGTCCTTGTGGGTTTTTTAGAGAGAGAAGCAATGGCTCTGACCGTGGCAGAAAAGAATAATGGTATCAAACAGGGTGGATTTTGAAGGAATAATTTCTCTTCCCTTGCTGCCTGTTCGAGCTTGGATTATTTGTGGCGAGTTGGTGCCTCCTTCATGCTTTATCTCTATTGCTTCAAAAGCTGCAATAATCAAATCGTCCTTGACCACCTGGGCCTGCCATACAAGCCATCTCTTCGAGTTCAAAAGAGTCACATTACCCTTCACGACATTGGCCTTGCCAAGATTAACAGTGCCCATTTCTCTCTCTCTATCCTAGTTGAAACGAATCACATCCCTGAGTAAACCATCATTGTTGACGCCTTCACTGAAGCCCTAGCAGCAATAGGTATATCTCTCTCTCGCACAGACAAGGAAAGGTATTAGGGTTTGGTTTTCCTCTCCATCTGGGTTAAGGTTGATCCCTATTGATTTAGAGGCCATAGAGCCAATTCTATTAGTCTTCAGTTAATTCAAAATGTCTCTCAAGGAGGCAGATCCATCTCTTGGTTTCCTCACCAAAAGGGAGACTGAGGTCAAGCTCCCAAGACCCACAAGGGTCAAGAACAAGACACCTGCTCCCATCCAAATCACCGCGGAGCAGATTTTACGAGAGGCCCGTGAGCGTCAAGAGGCTGAAATCAGGCCCCCCAAACAGAAAATTACTGATGCAACTGAGCTCGCAGATTATCGCCTCAGGAAAAGGAAGGAATTCGAAGATTTGATCAGAAGGGTCAGGTGGAACACCAGTGTGTGGATTAAATATGCTCAATGGGAGGAGAGTCAAAAGGATTTTGCTCGAGCCAGGTCAGTTTGGGAGCGTGCTCTTGAAGTAAACTATAGGGATGCCACATTATGGTTGAAATATGCAGAGGTGGAGATGAAGAATCGGTTCATAAACCACGCTAGGAATGTGTGGGACAGAGCAGTCACTCTTCTTCCTCGAATCGATCAGCTATGGTACAAATATATACACATGGAAGAGATGTTGGGTAATGTTGCGGGTGCTCGACAGGTATTCGAGCGCTGGATTAACTGGGAGCCAGACCATAACGGTTGGGCTGCCTACATCAAATTCGAGCTGAGGTATAATGAGATTGATAGAGCAAGATCAATTTATGAGAGGTACGTACAGTGTCATCCTACTATTAAGGCTTGGATACGGTATGCTAAGTTTGAGATGAAGAATGGGGAAATTGCTCGAGCACGAAGTTGCTATGAAAGAGCAATTGAGAGGTTAGGGGAGGATGGGCATAATGAGGAGCTGTTTGTGGCATTTGCGGAGTTTGAGGAAAGATGCAAAGAGATGGAAAGGGCTCGGTGCATTTACAAGTATGCGCTTGACCATATACCTAAGGGGCAGGCAGAGGAACTTTACAAGAAGTTTGTTGCTTTTGAGAAGCAATATGGCGATCGAGAAGGGATTGAGGATGTGATAGTTGGGAAGAGGAGATTTCAATATGAGGAAGAGGTCAAGAAAAACCCTCTTAACTATGATCATTGGTTTGATTATATTCGTTTGGAAGAGAGCGGTGGTGATAAAGAGAGGATCAGAGAAGTCTATGAGAGAGCAATTGCTAATGTACCCCCTGCTGAGGAGAAAAGATATTGGCAGAGATACATTTATCTTTGGTAAAACTTTGAACGCATTCTATCTTTTCTTCTTCTTTCAAACCCCCCCCTCCCCCCAATCATGGCTTTCCGAATTAATTGTACTATGTTTGTTTTACAGGATTAACTATGCTTTGTATGAAGAGCTTGAAGCTGAAGACATGGAGCGCACAAGAGAAGTGTACAGGTGTCTTTCAATTTGGTACCTGCACAGTTTGTTTGCTGGTTTTGTTTCTTTTTTTATCTTTAAGGGCCCATTTTGATTTCTTATATATAAATCTTTGGCTGATTTAGTGGCTATATGGTTATGTGTACAGGGAATGTCTTAAATTGATCCCACATAAGAATTTTTCCTTTGCAAAGATGTGGTTGTTGGCTGCCCAGTTTGAAATACGGCAGAAGAATCTGAAGGCTGCACGCCAAATTCTGGGAAATGCAATTGGGACTGCCCCAAAAGATAAAGTGCTTACTATATTCTTCATTTGGTTTTTTGTCAATGAAAAAAGTTGTTGTATCTATCTTCTCCAAGATCTCTTCTTATGGTTTTCTCTTCATTAACAGATTTTCAAGCAGTACATAGAAATAGAGTTGCAGCTTGGGAACATCAATCGTTGCAGAACTCTTTATGAGAAGTATCTGGAGTGGGCTCCTGCAAATTGCTATGCTTGGAGCAAGTTTGCTGAATTAGAGCAGCAATTGGGTGAGACTGAACGTGCAAGAGCAATATTTGAGCTGGCAATAGCTCAACCTGCACTAGATATGCCAGAGTTGCTATGGAAGGTATGCTTGCTTTTGTCACCTCTGTGTCACAAGCAAATTGTAAGTAAAATTTTTGGTTGTTTTAAGTGCACTGGGTGAACGAGCATTCGAATACTTGGCCAAGTTACGCGGGGTCGGCCCCTTGTCAAGCTGAGTACCTAAGCAAAACTCTGGCTAATTAGAAAATAGAAATATATAAAAAAATAAGTAAAATTGTGGAATCAATGTATAAAGTTGTGTGTAATTTGGATTTTTTTAACAATGATTTTTTAGTCTTTTGATACCATTGAAGAATCGAGACCCCTATCGGTCTTGGAAGGCCATTCCAGAGAGCAACTGAAATTCGAATACCATTCTACCCTCAAGAAAGAGGATATTTTTTGGTACCAAAGGTCTAGAATCAAGTAGTTGAAGGCTGGTGACTTGAACATTGGTTTTTGCCATAAAACAACAAATTGCAGGCATAGATACAATACTATCTCTCATCTTCTGGTGGGAGTAAACCTTTTAGATCAGCCCCAGGACATAGAACAGGCTATCCTATCCCATTTCAAAAATTTGTTCTCTGCCCCCCAAGGTCCCAGGCCGGTTATGGTGGACCTCCCTTTCCTTTCACTCCCTAGTGATAAAGTGACCTGGCTGGAGAGACCTTTTGACGAGACGGAGATTCTCGAGGCCATCTCTCAATTGGACTTAGATATGGCTCTTGGCTCTTGGCCCTTGGCCCAGACGGGCACCCCTTGGTTATTAAAGTCTTTCGGGAATCCTTTCGAGGTGATTTCCTTTCTCTTTTTGAAGAGTTTCACTCCAGAGGAGGTATATACAGGGCCATGAATTCCCCCTTCATCACTCTTATTCCTAAGATTGAGAGTGCCTAACAGCTCAAGGATTACCTGCCCATTAACCTAGTTAATTCCACTTACAAAATTTTATCCAAAGTATTAGCAACCCGTCTCAAAGCTGTCCTACATCTAGTTATCTCTCCCAACCAAAGTGCTTTTACCATAGACAGACAAATCCTCAATGGGGCTTTGGTTGCTCACGAATGTGTCCACGCTAGACATCTTGCTAAGGCACCGGGCCTCATTGTTAAATTGGATGGGAAAAAGCCTAAGACCATGTGGACTGGGACATTTTGGAAGAAACACAGCTTCAAATGGGATTTTGGTCGAGGTGGAGGAGTTGAATGAAGTCTTGCTACTCCCAACCCTTCTTCTCCATCCTCATCAACAGAACCCCGATAGGTTACTTCCCTCTACTAGGGGGTTGAGACAAGGAGACCCCCTCACCCCCTTCCTTTTTTCCATCTCTGCTGAGGTGTCTAGGCAGTTGTTTCCAGGGTCTATGCAGCCGGTCTCATACATGGCTTCTCTCTTGCCAACCAGGGCGCCACGGTTACTCACCTCCAATATGCAGATGACACCCTAGTCTTCTGCAATGCCACTTTAGAAGAGAGCGCCAATCTCTTCCTGTTCCTTAGATGCTTCCAATTTTCTACCGGGTTCAAAGTCAACTTTGAAAAAACAAAAATGATGGGGATTGCCATGGACTTTACAACTTAAGTCCCTCCAAGTACCTCGGACTACCTCTGTGCATTGGAAAATCGGAGAAGCAAGACTGGTCCCACATAATAGGCAAGGTGGACATGAAGCTCGCAGGTTGGAAGGACCGATTCCTTTCACCGGGAGGCATACTCACTTTAATCAAGGCCACTCTGGCCAATATCCCAGTCTTTCAAATGCCCATTTTCCTCAAGCTAGCTGCCATCCGTTCTTGTATCGAACAACTGATGCAAAGGTTTTTTGGTTAGGGGAGGCTGCGAACTATAAGTTTCACCTTATTTCTTGGAACAAACTTTACCAGCTGAAGAAGTGGGAGGGTTTGGGATTAGAAATTAGAGACTGCTCAATCTTGCCCTTTTAGGGAAGTGGTGTTGGTAGTTGACAACACTTAGCGGTCACATGTGGATCAGTATTTTGAGGCACAAATATTGTCTACATCTTCCCCTTTGTTATCGAATTGTTCCACAAACTCTAGATCTTCAGGGGTTTGGAGATCCATTTACGCAGCCTTCTCGTTTTTCAAGCAATTTATTAGAAACCATCCCAAAGAAGGTAGTCGCATACTCCTTTGGAAAGATCTTTGGCTCAGTCAATCTCCTCTCTCAGAGAGATTTCTGGTGCTCTTCTCTTTGGGCCGTTCACTAGAAACCACTGTAGCGAGGAAATGATTATCACGGGCTCGAGGTATTCCTGGAACCCCAATTTCAGACGAGCTATAAATGACGTCGAATAAAGCCTATTTGCAGATCTATCAGCTTGAGTTACAATTGTGTTTCTTAGCCCCTCATGGTGAGGACCACATTATTTCGACTCCAGTAGCCTCTGGAATTTTCCCTCACATTTGTGTCAAAGACTGGCGCAATCCCCCACTTTCCCCCTCCCTCCGACTTCGATAATGGAACAGGCCTGGTCATCTTTTGCTCATTCAAATATCAAGATTTTCATGTGGATTGCCATCTCTCATAGAGTCCTCACATTGGACCAACTCCAAATTCCAATAAGTAATCGTTGTGTTTTGTGTATGGCAGATGAGGAATCCGACCCTCATCTGTTTTTGCACTGTCCCTTTGCCTTCAATATGTGGGGAGAGCTGCTTTGCCTCTTTAATGTCCAATGGGTGCTTCCGGCTTCAGTAACCCACGTTGTCAATGCAATCCAACCTTCCCCTTGGGTGAAGGTAGGTATTTTGCTTTGGAAGTCTGCAGTGGCAGCCTCTTCGTGGGCTATTTGGATTGAACGAAACAACCGGATTTTCCAGGGGGAGCATTCTTCATGGTACAACACTTTTGTCAAACAAAAATCCGCCGTGGTGTTTTGCACAACCAATCACAAGAGTTTCAAAGGTTTTTCCGCCACTGACTTTACTCAGAATTGGGAGGCATGCCTCCAACACAATCGGAAGTGTTATTCGAGGGTAGCATTGTGGATGCCTCCTTCCCAGAGCACTTTCAAGCTTAACTTCGATGGATACTCCTTGGGCAACCCAGGACCTTCGGGAGCTGGTTGCATCTCAGAGATCACCTTGACAATCCTGTCACCTCTCTCTCTAAGTTCCTCAGCCATATTGATTCTACGGATATCCATTGCACTATTGGAAGGCCTCAAACTAATCAAGCCTCTTATGTTAGACTCGCTTATGATAGAATGCGACTCCAAGAATGTGACATTCTGAGCATCCACCCCTACCCCACCGCTGTGGTATTTGGCTAACATCTTTGAGGAGATCGATCACTTGGGTAGGGATACAAGCATCTCATGGCTGCACATTTGGAGGGAAGGCAATCAGGAGGCCGACACCGTGGCTAAAGCAGTGGCAAGCATGGCTGGCTTCTTATTTTGGGTTGCTTTTTGTCTTCCTATTTTGGGTTGCTTTTGTTGTAACCTTTCTTAAGAAGACCTTTCTTCGTTATTTTTTTTTTCTCTCTATTCTTTGGAGCATCCACACTGTGGATCGCCCATCACTCCTTTCATTAATTCAAGGTTAACTCTTTCAAGAAAGAAAAAAAACAATGATTTTTTTTTTCTTGTATGCCATATTTTTTATTTTCCTCTTTTTTGGATTTTTCCGAAATGTCTCAAAGCGTGAATCATATTTTTTTTAATCAATGATATATATAGTTATTTCAACTTTTTTGGACTTTTTATGTTGTTTTTGGTTTGTTTCACTTTTACAATTTTTTCCTCTCTCTCTCTCCCTCTCTCTCTCACACGCACACACACACACACACACACACACACACTCAAACATAGATACTGGACTTGTCATAGACTCTAGTAGCCTTGATTCCTTTCCTGACCTCAATTTTCTTTTGCATCTTCTTTACCATTTCTAATGGTATATGCTGTTGGTTTATATTTTGTATCTTTCTCTCTAGCATTTGGCTTATTTCGACACCGATGTTGATTTTGCTTTTGAATCGTTTATGAACTCTTTGAGTTAAAAAATTTGGCTTATTCTGTTCGGAATGGCATATTAACCAGTTCACAAAATAACAGGCATATATAGATTATGAGATAAAGAAAGGCGAGTTCGAGAGAACTCGTCAACTCTATGAGAGGCTTCTAGATCGCACAAAGCATCTGAAGGTTTGGATCAGTTATGCGAAGTTTGAGGCTTCTGTTGGGTTAGACGAGGAAGAAAAGGATGAGGCCATTCTCCATGAAGAAAACATGCAGCGCCTCCTACGCTCTCGTGGTGAGTAGGCTGACAATTTTTTTTTTTTGCAATAACATCTCTTTGATTCATTCCAATTTATTGAGTCGCATTCTCAATCCTTGGTTGCTTTATTAGGTGTATATGAGAGGGCATTTGAGTACTTAAGGACGGCAGCCCCAGAGCTAAAAGAAGAGAGAGCCATGCTTTTAGAAGAATGGCTGAATATGGAGGCAAGTTTTGCGGGTGTAGGGGATGTTAGTTTGGTGCAGAGGAAGCTCCCCAAGAAGGTCAAGAGGAGAAGAGCCATTGCATCTCAGGACGAGACTCCTGCTGGGTATGTTATGATGCCCCCCCCCCCTTCCTCTCTCTTCCTCTCTTTTCCTCGAGTCACTCTAGAATCTTTGCTCATCTGACCATTTATAGTAGATTGTCTAGTTCCTTTGAGTCATTCTAATCCCTTGCTCATTTGACGATTTATATTGCATTGTCCGGTTCGTATGAGTTGCTCGAATTCTCTACTAA